CACCCCCGTTGCTATCCCCCACTCCCCAGCCCCCGCCCACCTCAATCACTCATATTCCTCCGTCTCCATGTCTCCCCCATCCAATCGCTCGTCCCTAGATACCCTGCGCTCGATACATGAACGCGGCCGCAGCATACACACGACCACGCCACCCCAGTCCCTCAAGCTCCCGTCTCTGCCAGCGTCGATACGCAGCTGGTTTGGCTCCGAGGACGGCAGGGAAAAAGAGAACGTGCATCCGCTGCTAAGCGAGGAAGACAGGCGCGCAGACGCACAAGCCGAAAGAGAGCATATCAGGAAAAAGTGTGCGTATCCTTCTGTCATTCACTCCCGAGGCAAGGAGCTCCGTGGCTGACGAATCTCGTGAAACTCAAGACTTTGCCCCGAAGAACCCCGTTGTATTTTGTCATGGTCTCCTCGGCTTCGACACCGTCACCCTCGGGCCCTCCATCGCTCCTCTGCAGGTTGCCCACTGGCGCGGCATTAAGGAGGCATTCGAGGCGAATGGCGTCGAGGTGTGCACATTCCCTCTCCTGCCTAGCGTGTGCGGTGCTGAGCCATCTGCCTCGTGTAGGTGCTCATGACTCGCGTGCCGGCCACCAGCAGTCCGATTGACAGAGCAAAGGTGCTCGTGAAAAAAATCGACGAGGCCTATGCCGGGCGGAGTGTCCATCTCATAGGTAAGCATGCTCACGCGTCCCGGTGCTGGAGTGCTTATGTGGACTGTAGGATACACGTTGTAGGACATAGCATGGTTCGTCTCGCTCTTTGTTGACGCGGACGAAGTGCTAATTTTATTACTCAATGCGTCTATTAGGGTGGCCTTGACTGTCGGTATCTCACCACGCACCTTACTGATCGTTCTTTCCGCGTGCTGTCTATTACGTCCATCTCCACGCCTCACCGCGGCTCTTCTTTTGCGGACCATTTCCTGACGACCGTCGGGCCATCGCGGATGCCGTCTGTTCTTTCTTTGTTGGATCTTCTTCCGAACGGCGGCGGAGACGGGAAGGCGTTCGAGTTCTTGACGGTAGAGAGCATGCGGAGATTCAACGAGCGCACGCCTGATGTGGAAGGTGTCAAGTACTTTAGCTGGGGTGCTCTGTATGAGCCCGGCATGATAGATACGTGGAAGTCAGTGAGGTCGATGGAATTCCGACGGACCTAGCTAACGTTTATTTATATATAGATGGCCGCATTCCGTAATTATGGAGAAGGAAGGCCCCAATGATGGACTTGTGTCGCTGAAGTCGGCGCAATGGGTAGGCCTTATGAATCAGTCCTATGTTATGGTCAGTGCTTACACACGAGGCTGTTTAGGGAACGTATCTCGGTACGCTTGAAGGCGTGAACCATCTCGACTTGATCGGATGGGTAAACACGGCGCGCTACAAGTGGGCAGAGATCATGGGGCGCGAGGTGAAGTTCAAGCCCGTCACGTTTTATCTGGGCATTGCGGATCATCTCGCGCGTGTTGTGGAGGGACAGGCGCAAGGAGGGCAAGGCAAAGGAGAGAATAGAGGTGGGAAGCGAGAGAGCACGCCGGAGAGGGAGGAGCGAGAGGAGATCGAGAGAGAGACGGAGCGGGCAGCGATGGCGGACAGCCTTGGGAAAGGGGACTCTTTCGTGAGAGGGCATTCGGAGGATAAGGGAGGGAGTGGGGGTCGAGCACCGCACAGGCCGACGAGGGTGTGAGTGTTGTGTACCGAGTGAGATAGGATACCCGTTGAATATAATGCTAGTCTTTGCTAATGATAATGTTCTTGCCCAAGGTCTGCAATTCAAATATTGAAGTGTGGGCGCTCGGGCCGATCAGACGAGTGATCGGGTGATGCGATGAAGTCACCATCGATGGCGCCGGCCTCTCCGCCGGTCCTTTCGTTCTCCCACTCACCCCTCCTCCGTCTCCCCTCTCTGCCAAAAAATGAGCCTTGAAAAACTTTCCGTGAACAGAGCCTTTGGCGGCGAGCTCACAAAATACAAATTCAAGGTGCATCCACACAACGCACGTCCGTCCCCATACCCTGTCTGAACCTCGTCCCCTCCGTCTAGTCTGAGGTCCTGGGAGGCACATTCGCCCAGTTCAACCTCTTCCTTCCCGCAAATGCCGCCTACGGAAAAGTCCCCGTTCTCTTCTACCTTTCCGGCTTGACCTGCACGGAGGACAATGCGTACGCTCGTCTCTCTGCGAGCTTATCAGCGGCGCCACTCACCCTCGCCGCAGGACCCAAAAGGGCTGCTTCCTGGGTCCTGCCGCACAAGAGGGCATCGCGCTCATCTTCCCTGACACGTCTCCTCGTGGCGCGGGCATCGAGGGCGAGGCCGACGACTGGCAGTTCGGCGTAGGTAAGCTGCGCGTGCTCTCGCAGACGAAGCCGCCTGATCCTCGCGCGGCCGCGACGCGCAGGTGCGGGCTTCTACGTGGACGCGACGAACCCCAAGTTTGCAAAGCACTACAACATGCTCTCCTTCGTCACCCGTGAGCTCCCCGAGGTTGTGCAGGCCGCAGGCGTCCCTATCGTGAGTGCCGGGAAAAATTGAATGCGTCAGGTACTCACGAGCGAACGTGTCTCTCCCGCTTCAGGACTTCACGCGCCAGTCGATTTTCGGCCATTCCATGGGAGGCCACGGCGCCCTGACGATCTACCTCAACTCGGTGCTCAAGGGCACCAAAGTGTACCGCTCCGCCTCCGCCTTCTCGCCCATCTCCAACCCGACCAAGTGCCCTTGGGGCGAGCGGGCATTCACAGGCTTCCTCCAGGGTGGCATCGAGGAGGCGCGGGACAAGTACGACGCGACGGAGCTCATCGCAAAGATGAGCAAGGAGCCGCTGCACATCCTCATCGATTACGTGCGTCCCCCTCTTGGCTCTTGTCTCTTCTCTGCGCGTGCTCTCGCAGGCGCTTGGTAAGGCCATGAGAACGCTGACTGACTCGGCGTGCGCCAGGGCACGGGAGACAACTTCTACAAGCAGGGCCAACTCCTGCCAGAGAATTTCCTCAAGGTTGCCCGGGATGTCGGATACGACGAGGTACAGGTCCGCGTGCGAAGCCAGGAGGGCTATGACCACAGCTACTATTTCGTGCGTCAAGTTCTGTCCTCGGATTTTATTCGGCGATGGTCTTCACACCTAGAATTATAGATTTCGACATTTGGCGCGGATCACATTCACTGTATGTTCTTTTTGCCGTATCTCGTGACCGAAAATGACTCACCGGTCCCCATCAAAGTCCACGCGAATTTTCTTAAGGCATGAACATGAGAGAAGGATCTGCGCATTATAAGGCCAATACTGTGCTCATCTCAGTCTGTATCATCAGCAGATTATGTCTGGGTTGAAGCTGTGCTCGTTGTATTATAGTATGCAAATGGACAGAGAGAGAAACGCGACAATATATGAGAAGTCCGACTTATTCTTGCTATGCTTGGCTGCAGAGTCATACAACCCTTCTGCGTCCGTGGGCGATGCGAGTAATCTGCACTATATCAGACCGCTTAATCACCGCAGGGGCATGACGGAATAAATTGCTTATTTCACGAGGAGCATGATAGTCACAAAATAGCATATCGATGGACAGCTAAGAACTAGGGTCCGAAACAGCCGCCGTACAAAAGATAAACAGAACAGAGTATCAGAAGGAGACTGGGCGCAGAGGGAGCTGTAGAACGTGTAGTTTCCATTTCTGCGGCCGAACCAGATTGATAAGTCCAGACAGTGATTTGCGGCTAGCTAGATCCGACTCGTTCACGGTAAGCATCATCAAGTTCCGATTGTTCACAGGTGAACCATTCGTTTTGAAGAGCTAGGTGCACCGTCGCGCGATGTAGAGGCTCATATACAAGCAGATTGCTGCACAGGAGCTGGGCTAATGGCACCAAATTGCCAATGAGTGATATAATGAGTTCCACAAATTTCTGATAGAAAGGACATCAAATGATGTAAATGACACATAGCGTACCGTGGGGGATAATGGACCAGATACACGGCGGGAATTCAGGGTCTCCATGAACAATCCTCTTTTTTACGATGCGATCGCTCTGCACGGAGTTTTGCGACAAGACCGATACTTGGGAGGCGCCGTCAGGCATTTCGGATGGACAGTACGAATACCACGCCGATTCGCCCTCTAATCTTTCATAATCGAAGGGGTGACCGCCGCTAGATACAGTCGGCTGAGCAATCCATCACAATAAGTGATGTCGGAAAACATACGCTAGCATGATATACATAATAACCCCCGCACTCCAGCAGTCGGCCGGCATACCTACATAGCCAAGATGCTTGTGGTCGAGGGCGAGGATGCCTTCTGGAGGGAGGTACGAGACCGTTCCACAGACATTGAACGTCTCTTGGTAGGCTTTAGGACGGGCGAGACCGAAGTCTGCAATCTGAATCCGGGGATATGGGCCGGCAGTGTAAAGGAGAATATTCTCTGGCTGCGATCGTTGATCGTCCGAGACAATTCAATGTCAGCTTGTCAAACGAACACAAGGGGAAGTACACTGAACTTTAAGATCTATTTCACACGATACGAGGAAAACCAGTCAGGGGATATATAAAATTGTTTATCACTGACAACGCACCGCGATGAGAAATTAGCCGATCATGAAGGTACTTCAAGCCTTTGAGCAGCTGATACATGATGTACTTGGCTTCTCCTTCACAGAGTCTGGAGTTTTCATGACCAACAATGTAGGAAAAAAGATCACCACCGGTACACAGCTCGAGGAAGATGTGTCTGCGGGTAATGATAGGTTATGTCTTCCCGTGAGGAATGATTCACACTCACAAGAAACTACTATCATGACGAGCGGCCCATACGCGATTGATATTGGGCTGAGAATCCGAACTTAGCACGACTCAACATAAGAATAGAATGGATCTATAAGCTCACATGATCGAGTGCAATGAGGATGTCCACTTCTTTCATCACTTTGTCTACCTTGTCCTGGCTTTTCCTTTTGATCGTTTTACAGGCTACCTGCCTATATGCAGATGCATCCATGGCTAGGTGGACAGTTGCAAAGCTTCCACTCCCAAGACAGTGAGATGTCACAAGATAACGGCCAATACGCTTCAAAATCGATCAAGAACACGCAATACATAATATCAAGGCGACTGACCTTGGTTCTCAACGACGGCGCCGTAGGCGGAGTTGGATCAAAGATGTTGGCCTTCTCTGCAGTCGCTTTCTGCAGATGTACGCATTCAAACTCTGGCAAAATATTTAGTCAAGCGTCGGGAGAAAATTCAGCACGTCATACTCTGGGAATGTGGGATCTGAATTATGTCCCCGTCCATCAGGAGGACTGAGGTTTTCCGGACCTTGTGCCCGTTCAGAACAAGCCCGTTGGTAGACATGTCCTAGACATCGAATATTCAACACAAGACCTGCCGTAGAAAGACGTCTCTCACTTCACATGATACCAGTACTCCTCCATTGCTTGGACGGACGCTGTTGTTACGGCATGAGATCGGGGCTCTAAGACCGCGGACTTTATAAGCATACTTACGCATATAGTTTGCAGTGGAGACTCGACACCACGAGGTCGGATATAACATACGAGCTATAAATGCTCCATGAGTTCTTAGGCCACTCTTTTCCGAGCCCAACATACCAAGACGGATGTCTGCCGATCGTGAGAGGTCGGTCTATACTCAATAGGAGTGCTTTGAGAGCAGGTAAGGTGTCATACAGTCCGTGCGAGCCGAGAACAGAAGGATAGAACATACATTCCTTGAGTCCGGTTTTGTTTACAGTGTGTAGTTTGGCGCATATACTGGATGAATCGACCCATTCTGTAGACTGAGGCATCACAGTCCAATCCGGGAGCGCATTGTGTCCGACTGTGTCGGATGATGAAGAGGTTGAAGGCATACTTGAGCAAAGCCGTCGAAAAATACACGAAAGACACAGCAGAATAACTTGAGGAGGCTTCTAGACGAGAAATCGTGGAGCGTGATTCGGAATCCAAAGGTGATTGGCCCAGAAAAGGCGAGACACTTCAAGAAAGTCAAATGCGACCCCGACGCGTATTGACGCGTCCTGTCGTGACACCTACATAACCTGCTCGCGATTCGCCGCGTGGTATATACTGTAAAATTAAGTATGAATAATGCCTGTACTCAGCTCGCAGACTATGCACACAATAGTCATTATCAGTACACTGTCTACAACAAGTCTATAGCTACACAGCTAGGCTACAGTAAAATATACCTGCTTCCTGGCTTCTTCAATCATATCCTCTACCACTCCTTTGCTTGACTCGCTTCGGCTTTTTGTGATGCTTTTTGCCTGCACTGACCATCCCACCACCTGCATTAGTAAGTACAGCAGCTATTCTGGCCTGATTCTCCGTTACGGGAGAGCCATCATCAGCTATGGCGTTCTGATGAGGGTAGATTTGCATTCGTGTGACTTCTTGTCCACCCCGGGCGGATCCACGCACTCGCGGACGCAGTGCAACCACGGAATCATTGGTGAAGAATTCCTCGTCAATGTTATGGGACTTTGTACTTGGGATCGGGCCGCTACTCGAGGATGGCGGAGCAGCACCCGATCCGAGCATCGGAGGTATGTTACCTTGGGCTATGAAAGTATCAGCGCCTTTCACGACGCGCGTCAAGGGCGCGCGTTTCTTGCCCAGGACGCGCTTCAGAGACAGCTCCCTGGTCTGTTCGTTAAATTCTTCTTCTGATACGCCTGGGGGTGGATGACAGAACAGAAGCTTGGCGTTCACGTAGTCCTTGAGAATATACCTCGCCGCGCGCGCCTCGTCTGGATTGCCCTGGCCTGAGCGCATGAAACCTCTTGCGACTGGCACCGGACTTCGTTCAACAATACGTGACGAGTTTGGTGACAGGACGTACTGGCATAAGGTATCAACAAGTCTTCAGGCGCCACCCCGCCGTCCCAATCATCATCTGGTCCTCTTGTCTTGATTGCTAGTCCATAAGTTGCTTCCAAGACTTCCCGTGGGATTCTCTTCGCAACTAAGGCAATGGGTCCGGTGTGTTCCCTCAGCTGATCAATCGGGAGGACTCCATCGCATACTAAATCCGCCCGCGTAGTAGTAAATTGCGGAAAGACCAGACCCGGACAATCACATAACATCAGAGTAGGTGATAGGTTTATTGTCTGGAAATGTTTGGTCTTTCCGGGCGTTGATGAGACGCTGACTTTCTTTTCGCCCAAGAGGGCATTAATTGTGCTTGATTTACCCACATTCGGGTATCCCACAAGACCGACTACCAGCTTTCCAGGATGCGCACCCGTGGAGTCGGTAAAAGCTGATAATGAATAAGCGATCACCATGATATGGGTTGAATTAGAGACTGCGTACTAGTCAAATCAGGTGCGGCCTTGACGAATAGGTCCTCAAGCTCCAACACTGACAGAACCTTCGTCCTCGGATCTTGTGTATCTGGGGTATCTTCCTCAAGGGAAAACGCAGATCCAACGTCGGACTCTTCCGATTGCAGCTGCTCGTCCGACGAGCATGTGGGGGGATTGTCGTTATTTTCAGGAGACATCTCCCCATCTGAGGAGCTTGATGTATACCCTTCGTCTTGGTCTCGGTCATACACTGAAGGCGCGTCCACGACTAGTGGTTCTCCCTGGCGTGCTAGCTGCAAAGCTGCCGCATTGGCTGCGGAGAAAAACGCATATCGTACTCCTTGTTCATCAAAGTAATCAGCCCATACACGTCTAAGGGATTAGAACGACATAGCCTATTAATTTCTCTACCCCCAACTACCTATTATGAGAGACTCACCTCTGCTTAGCGGTCAATAGATCCGATTTATTGATCAATAACATATTCCTCCTCAAACCCTTGCCTGTACCCTGCTCTCCTTCCGCTCCTTCCACGTCTTGCACATAAAATTCTAGATCTTCACACCTGAACCGGAGAGGATTTCGGGCATCAACAATTTGGACAACCAAATGCGAACGTTCCAGCACCCGCCAGAGCTGTCGCCAGACTTCCAGATTACGCTCAAAAGGTGTGAGAAGAAACCGGTCTTGCTCTTGAAGCCTAGTCCCGGGTCAAGGCCACGTATGTTAGACGCACATCACGAAAGCGGCTAGAGAATGCGTACTCTGCCAATCCTCTCCTCCATTCCAAAAACGCATCCTTCTCTTGTCTGTCTAGCTGGGTCGCAGTCATCTTCTTGGTCCAAGGAGATCGTCTAGGTACCCGCAAGCGCCTCCTATTTTCCTGGTGTCTCTGAATTGTATGGCGCTCTTCCTCTTCAGAGAGTAGATATGAGTTATGGTGCACTCCGGAAGAGGAGTTAAGAATTTTGACATTGCGGCGTTCTTTGAGAAGCGTGAGATATGAACAGAGGAAGAAAAGAAAAGATAACTACCTGCAGTAAATTGAGTCCCCGCTAGTTGTGCGGTGTTCAAGAACTCATCCAAATCACGCTCTTGAGTGATTGATTGGAGGCGTGATGTAGGATCGATATCGGTAGTATACTGTGTACAAAAAAAGAGGAATGGGATACATTGGTTGAGAAGTAACTGGTTGCCTATATACGTACAAGTCCCGTCTCTCGTGCCCTATGAGCATCCTTGACCTTCTTGTTAATGATTGCACGCCCAAGCCCGCTTGGGTTAGGATTTCGCGTCTTCGTAGGTGCCTAGGGCATTATTGGAGTTCAGTCGTTACGAATATGCAGTAACTCCACGAACCATTGGGTCCAAACAGTGTGTGATGCTAGTGTCCGGCCGGGAACAGAAGTGCGTCGTCCTGCACAGTGCAGATCATGATCAGGCTGAGAGATAACCGCCACTTTTAGGTCATGTGACTTGCGTTCAGATCGAATCTAAGATGCGATCAACAGCTATGATTGAACGGCTGAACGATGGATTGAAGTCGAATCGTTATCCAACTTTCAGATTTTAGCTGCAGCCCTACAGACTTGAGCGGAATGCAGGAGGTGATTATGCTATTGTGGATTAAGCTCGGGTGACAAACCCTCGCAGGGGTGTCACGACTTCTCCGCTAACTCCCGAGGGGACGTTGCTATTCTACGGCATCGAGTTCTTGTTTGATTCTCTTCCCAGACTTCACACGCTGATTGGGCTTTAGGCGTAGCAACACCCATATAGAGTATATCCGATGTTCGACGCCTTGAACCGCTTCTGGTGCACTCTCTCATGATCTTTGATCCGTCTCCCCCTGCTGGCAGAAGATCATTCAAACCACTAAGCAGAAACTCATCGTCTCACCATAGTATTATCCTGCGAATGCCAAGCTGCCTTTTTGCGATTTGAGGTCTCAATTAGCAAGAAAAGTGTCCAGTTCTTGATCGAAATGACTACCAATTGGGTGCGTGCTGTTCCTTTTTGCCTCAAGTACAGCAGAATGTCCAGAGGGATGAAATAGCGATCAACTGTCACCGTATGTGATATTCTGGGATCTCATCCCTGTGTGTAGACATACATGAGTGAATCTCCGCGATTTGTCCGCTTCGTTACCCTCTATCGGTTGCCAGTACTTAATTGCCAATGAATATCTTAACGACAAGGTATAAAAGGACACTTACTTCGACAGAGCACCTTCATCGAAATTTTGGTAACAGTCGTATCTTCATCATGAAACTCGCGACAGTCCTTCTGGCAGTAGCTTCTCTCGCTATCGCGCCCCAGGCGGTTAAAGCACAATTCTCTACTCGTCTCGGTGGTGTCAACACTGCAGGATACGACTTCAGTGTCGTGAGTTCCTCTGTCACTAGCCCAACTATTGTATGCCGACATTATCTCCATTGAATAGGACACTAACGGCGACTTTTCGGGAACTGGTGTGTTCACTATTCTCTGCAGCAACAAGCGTACAAATCTCATGTCACTTAGGTACCACTCCTCCAGCATCTCAGTACACTCACTTCTCTGGAGAGGGCGCTAACCTCTACCGTATTCGTAAGTAAGATCACTTTTAATGCATGATGCATGCTCATTGGCATCGTTCTACCTCTTAAAGCTTTCGGTATGCCTGGAGACACTTGAAGTCCTCGCCATGTCATCTGATTACTCATCCTAGCATGGCAGCTGATGACCCCCACTCTCGGTGGAACTATCAACTCGAGTTTCTTCTCTGAGTATGATACCACTGTCCAGGCCGCGTTGGATTCTAGCTCTGGAGCATACGTTATCGTTGACTTGGTATGTGGCTGCTTATCGTTTTGCCGTCCGTCCGGTTTTGATGCATTCATGAAGCACAACTACGCTAGATGGAACGGTGACATCATTGGCCAGGGTGGCCCGACTAATGCTGAATATGCGTCAATCTGGACTCAGCTTGCGCAGAATTACGGCTCTGACGAGCGGGTTATCTTGTGCGTATATTTCTTCAAAGAATTCAAGTTCATTTAGCTCAAAGTTCCTTAAGTGGTCTCATGAATGAGCCTCACGACCTCAATGTTACCGAGTGGGTGGCCTCTCTGCAATACGTTGTAAATGCTGTTCGAGAAGCCGGATCTACCAACTATCTCCTGCTCCCCGGATCGAGTTACTCGTCGGCTGAGACATTTCCCACTGAAGCTGGCCCTTACCTTGTTGGCGTCACAGATCCTCTTGGCGGCACTGGAAAGCTGTTGTTCGACGGTTAGTGAGGCCCTTGACATCCACTTACTCTAAATTCATTGCATTTTCACAGTTCACAAATATCTGGATTCTGACAACAGCGGTACTCACGCTACTTGTGTCACGGTTCGTATGGCTAGACTCGTCCGCGAGATGGGATGCTCATACTTCTGGGGGAGGTGGATAGAACAACGTCGATGTCCTCGAAACCTTGGTTAGCTTTCTCCAAGATAATGGTGACCGCCAGGCAATTCTGAGCGAGACCGGTGGAGGCGAGACTACCAGTTGCTACACTGAGTATGTTTCCGTCCGTCATTATTGGAGATACAACTCATTCTGCTTCAGCGTTGCTCAAGAGCTTTCTTACGTCAAATCTGCTTATCCGACTCTCGTCGGTTTCTCCATCTGGGCTGCGGGCGCCTTTGACACTAGCTATGTCCTCACCGTAACACCCTGGTCTAACGGCACTGACCAGACACTCTGGACCGAAGCCGTGAAACCATACCTCCCGTAAGAAGCTTCAAGGATTTGAATTCCATAGCAAGAGGTTGAACTGTGAAGGTTTATTTGGGGCTAGGACGTGGATATAATCGGCCGCGGTCGCTGGTGTATTGAGCTGGCTGTATTCTTTCAGAGCTTATGTTATTATTCAAGCAAGTTTTGATTGTTACTATAGCCGACTTCATCCTTGACGTCATCTTCGCATCGCACGAAACAATCACTGCAGGAGGTTTGATAAATTTGGCATGCTCGGACGCTGAATTACGGATATATGTTAATGTTATCCAGAGTGCTGCTTGATTGGCGAGACCTGTCTGTGGAAAGTACCAAGTCGATTAAGCTACATGGTGCTTCAAGTCTTGTCTGCGGGGTCAGGGGAGCGGAGGATTAGGCTGGCGAGGAGTTCAGCTCCCTACAGTAGCTTCAATAAGTGGATTCAGGACATGTCCTGATCTGTCTCATTTGCATCTTCAAAGTTCGCGACTATCAAATTCTGCTATCACCCGACGTGGAATCCACGCCCAGACTCGATATTCCTGACGGTGAGTGCAAAATTAAGCATTATAATAAACTCTGGTCTCGTACGTCCTCGATATCTGTATTTAGGTACAAGACCGGTAAGCCTTACGTCTCACTTTGAGTTAATCCAATTTTTGACCCTCTCGGACCTCAGGTTTACATTACTGGATATTATGATTTTCTGTCGGAGAAACCAGTAGTCACTTATGACCTGGGAGCACAACTACTGCCTCATCATTCAGTGACAGAATATATCCGATTTGTGCATCAATGGAAATCAGCCGAGGGCCGCCGCGCCTGACCGCTCCGCCAAAGAAAGCTTTAGCTTTCAGCCAGTGGCAGCAACATGTGCCTGTCGCAGAACTTGCCAAGTCCAACGGGCTTACAGTCAAAGATACTATGCCATGGTCTTTGAGGGCACTAAATATTGATTGGACGACTCCACCGTCATGTCTCAGCCTTCCACCAAGAGTAAGTAGCTTCACGTAGTCTTAACTCGTATAAATCTGAAACCTACTCAATTTACGGCCTATCACCTTATCATAGCGAATCTCAATGTTCAATCGTGGATGGTGTTATTCCAAAAGCTAACGGCTGACACAAGTGCAGTCAATCATTCGCTCCCGCGACTTATCACATTGATGCTCTAAGACTATTACAATCTTCAGGGAACTGGCAGATTAGGTCTCACTAATTCGATGGTAAGAATCGAATGGTACAATAGATTTATCTTCAAGACTTACCAGCATCGATCCAGAGAGGCTGATCAGTGCCATTGGCGTTAGGAGTCACGGACAAGATATAGTCGGTGGCAAACGCGCCCGCGGCCCAGACAGAGAAGCCGACCAAGCTCGGGTAAGCAGACTTCACGTAAGCCAGTTCTTCTCCGAGGCTGTACGTAGAGATTCAATTAGTGAGCGCAAGTATAGACTGGGAGAAGTAGACGCACTAAAGTTCGCAGCTTGCAGTGTTACCTCCACCTGTCTCACTGAGAATAGCCTGACGGTCGCCGTTCTCCCGGAGCCAGCTGACGAGAGTCTCTAAGACTACGGTGTTGTTCTGGATGGCAGATCAACACTATATACTGCCTGCAGTTCGGTACCTACCGTGACACACTCGGCATGGGTACCACTGTTGTCGTAGTCGAGGTACTTGTGAACTATGCATCTGGTCAGATTTGGACTAGATAGCATGAGAATGCTTACCATCGAAGATAAGCTTCTCCGTTCCACCAAGAGGATCAGTGACGTTCAGCAAGTAGGGACCAGCTCCAGTAGGGAACGTCTGAGCAGAGGTGTAGTTTGACCCCGGAAGGAGTAGGTAGTTCGTGGCACCAGCAGCACGGATCGCATTTACAGCGTATTGCACGGATTCCGCCCACGTGGGGATGTCGAGGTCATGAGGCTCGTTCATAATCCCACTGGAAGCGTTTGTGTTAGTTCACGTGGCGTTATTCAAGATTGACTCAATACATACAAAAGCAGCCGGTCATTGTTGCCGTACAGTGCGGCAATTTGGGACCAAATTGAGGCATACTGCTCGTTCGTGGGACCGCCCTGGGCAATGATTTCTCCGTTCCACCTGGCATAGTTGTGCTGCAATATGGCATCAGATGGGTACAATCCAGCAAATACATCCTACGGACTAGATCAACAATTGCGTGTGCATTTGGGCTTGACGCCAACGCAGCCTGCACCGTTGTGTCATAGTTCTCGTAAAAGAATGTCAAGTTAATAGGTCCTCCCAAAGTGGGCGTCATCTCCTGCCAAGCTTCGGATGATGTGAGTACAGAGAGCGCGCCAGATGATTGGTTCTAAACTTGTGACATACCGAAAGCTGTACGAGTGTTTGGCTGAGATATTATTGCGCAAACGTCAAAGGCAACTGTAGATACATACGAATGCGATAAAGATTAGCTCCCTCATTCGAGAAGTGAGCATATTCCCAAGCAGGAGGAGTTTCGGCTAGTAATCTGAATGAGTAGTCAGAATATGATCGAGATATGAACACGCATACCGTTGTTCGTGAAGCTCCCGTTGGTGTACTATTGAGGCAATGGTTTCTGAGGTCACCCCAACGGACATAGAAGAGTGTCGCTTACAACCGTGAAGTCATATCCTGCAGTGTTAACACCGCCTAGACGGATAAGCTGGGCTTTCACAGCAGTGGCAGCGCCCAACAAAGCGAAGGTAGTGCCCGTATACTTCATCTTACCAAACTACTTCGAGACCAGTGGTGGGGCCGACTAGATGGAACTGCGACCCTTTAATATGCCTCTTGTACAGGGACCGCTTCTCTGTCAATCCCGGAAGTATGTGGACGGACAAACTGCGGGGATTACAAGCCCATGTGCACAGAAGTTGTATTTTGGGATCCATCTGATGGGCAACGCATCCTCCATTACTAGGAAAGCTCAAATCTGAGTAGAGTAACTATCAGATCCTTTGGAAATAGCGCCAGCTTAGAGAATAAATGTGGGGGTCAAGCAGGTCAGCGAGCAGAGCATTTACAGTAGAAAGACTGGTATGCGTACAACACTGTTGGGTGCTCGAACGATCATATGAAGAAAACGAAATTGCTTCCGTCAGGTGGTATGGAGTATTCTCGGAGAGGAATTCATTTCTTCGGATGTGACGGGCTTAAAAAAATTTTCCGAAAGACCCAAAAATTGGAACCTATCCCACTAGATAAAAGTTTCGGGGACGCCGAGATGACATATTGGCCCAGGAAATCCTTCACATTCTTCGCAGGACAGGTGGAATTCGTCCAGTCAGACGACGTTCGGGTAACCCAATAAAACATGATTACACAGGAAGCCTGCCCTATGGAATAATAGTGCCCGATGAGCTCCAATAATGAACATGCTGACATACCCGGGAGAGCCAGACAAAACAGGCTCTATGCGACCACTGACTCGGACAGATGAACGACGTTTTGCCGAGTCATATGTGTGTACAGTGGCCTTGTGTTGCGCCAACATCACGCGAAACACCGCTCGTGGATAATTTACCAGCTGTGTAGACTGTCGGCGCCAAGCGAGTCCTGCCGGACTCATCACGAACGACTTGAATTCTTTATAGGGCAAGAAATCATACAAAACAGAACGAGTAGCAGGTACATAGCACGAGCATGTACGAATGTGAAATGTTTCTTCAGCCTTGAAGCCTGGAGCTTGTAGTTTGTTGTAATTTGCTTGGAAGTAGGCCTGGAGGGGCTCATCAAGAGTTACTCGCCGGCGAATGACAGTGACTGATAAGATGGTTGCCGAATTCATACGCGACAAAGTGACTGGTGCGACAGAGCGATCACATGAACGTTGAAGAAGCGCCAGCTACATAGCCGTAAACTTCCACAGCTCTGAGCTCATGTCGGACTACACGAGGAGGGCTCTTTCTCTCTATCGAACATTTCACCGTCAGATTCGTTTACTTCCTACGCCATATTTACGGTACTTCTTCTTCTAGTGTTCCATTGTCCGTTAGTAATTGCTTGCTCAGCCAGTTCTTCAAGATCAAGCTTGGAGACGATGTCCGTGCCATTCTCAAGACTACCAGAGGAGATCTTCAAGGTAGGAAATTCAAAAGAATGGAGAAGGTATCTAGAGATTTGATTCTAGTGCATGTCATCCCTTATGTATTATGTTGCAGGAGTTAGCGCGGATGGAACTAGCGAACAGAGGTGTAGCAAAAAGATTCGATCACATCTTAGATCTGGCATATGGACGTAAAGGCAAGCTCAAGTGGGAGCTCATGAATGTATGAATCTCCTTCATCCTCAAAGTGTTACAACTTGATGACGGTGCATAAGTCCATTTTATCAGATCCTACTGCTCCCCTCCCCGAGAGAATAATCCCGACGGTCGAAAAGTCCCGTCCTCCTGTCTATTCTGCCGAGCTGAGTGCGCTCCTTATGTCCACATATTCTCACAAGAAGAAGCCTCTTACACGCAACGCCCTTCGATCTCCACCGACACTACCAGCTCGGGCAAATCCAGAATCTGATGCTGCTCGGCTCCTAGGACCTTTGAGCAAACGTCGGAAGGTAAACATTCTCTGGAGGTTTTACACCGATCAAATACAAAGAGTATATCCACCACTGCAAGTAGCGGTGGAATCAGGTTCAGCCGGCGAGACTCGGTATCTCACTGATCTAACATCTCTCAAACATGCCGGCATTCGAGCGGTTGGGATGCAAAATCAAGACATACTTCAGGATATCCAATCATTAGCTACACATCACACCTGCTTAGCGAACTCCCTGGAAGACCAGGAGGCGGCTTCACCGTCGCCGCTGTCGTCTTCGCATTTGTCACCCCGCTTCATACGCCGGCGGTTTGCTCATCTTCTAGGACGTCTACCAATTCTGACATATCGGGAGGTGCTCGACACCACCGCTCAACCAGGACAGCATGGTGGCAAGTACCGAGTATCCATCTCGCCCTCAGCAATCCACCCCAGCTTGCGCTTCTCTCCGAATCACCTCGTTAACGCTGGTGCTGACGACATCGCCTGGTTCGAGTCTGCACAGTTAGAAGAGAAGATGCGTAAAGAATTCTCAAAACAGCAGCGTGCCGAGCGACTGAGCAGTGGAAATCGGAGCATCTGACAGATTGCTAGGGAAAACAAAGGGTATAAATGCTGACCATATGTTGTTACTTGACCACTAGCATCTCCTTTCATTACGTGACCTCTTCTGTAGAATTCTCCATCTCCAGCCCGTGCAGATCGATCACATACATGCTGTAGTTGCGATCCGTAGCTTGCGCTGCTCCGCCTTCGCTGTGACCAGGGTCAACCCCGCATTGCAGGTCTAGCATGGTTTTGTACTCATCGAAGCTGAATTCTTGTTTTTGACGGATGTCGTCAAGCATTTGCTGCATCATGATGTCAGCCACTTGATTGTCTCATGTCCACACGCCAAAGAAGAACACAAACTTGGGGTGATATCGCAAACAGAGAATAGTATCGCTTTGCCCGCTCAAAATCTGCGTCTTGGTTATCTTGCGTTATCGTCTTAATATTCTGCTGCAATGCGAGCATATTCCTCGTCATCTTCTTGATTCCAAACGCATTCATTGTGCGTATGTGTCGTGCATTTGAGATCAGAAGTCGTTCCAGTAGAAGACCTAGACCTTCGAACATATACCTTTAAGGTAATCAGTATAGATTCCGATGCTCACAAATGTGCGCACCGTCGCTCTTTCCCAGGAAGGGCAGACGAGGCCCACTCATCACAGCGACCCAGCTCAATATTCAGATCGATAATATTTGGGTCTGGCTCGCTGACTTCACGCTCCGTCTTGTAAACACCCTATGAGAGCAGTTGAGAACAAGAATAGACAAACCCGATTATCAGCACTGACATGTTTCAAGGCAAGGTCCAAATGATGGATGGCACGGCACCGAACATCAATGCGCAGGGTATAAATGATTAGTTCAGCCAGCTGAACAAACGTCATATGGAGGGCCTGGAATCGCCTGCAAACACGCCGAATCAGTACATTATACAAGAGTTGTTCTTATGTCACTTACATCGCCATCGCGGCAGAAAGAGGGAGACTCAATGGTTCGTTTGCTTGAACTGGAGCAACAGCCGGCAAATAAGGCGTGTATGGTGTTACCGCGTTTACAGGCTCTAACCTCATCGGAGTTGTGGGAGACAGGGCCACATCGGGCGCTGATTTCAGTACATCCAACTCCCTCGCAAACCACGTCTGTTGGTGCCATAATCAGATATACGTGCTGTCCTGGATTCTGTCAAAAACTTACGATACTAGTATAAAGACCAGCTAAAGCGGATAGGTTCCTGATTGAGAGTATCAAGTCCTGTTTGTCAATTGAACGCTCCGCGAGAAAATTCTGTTCAAGGTGTGCCTCCTGTTGGCACAGCTGGATCCTCTTTGAGACAGTATTGCTATCATTGACAACGCCGAATAACCCTGAAAGACAAGTGGCAAGCTCCGATTTCTGCGCCCACTGTGCAGCTAGAGCAACCCGGGATCCCGCTTGGGAAGTACCATCCTTGATGGAAACCAAGTCATAGAATCTATCACTGCACCGCTGATAGAATTGTCCGATGACAGTGAGGATAAGACGGGAATAGTTCTCACGATGGAAGGGAGTCGTTCGAAGCATGGCACACAGTGAGTTTATGAGCGCCATGACCTGCACGCTGGCCTTGGGTTGCAACCTTGAGTAGAGCAGCAGATGAAACTATACACCACCGACCTTGACAAGAGGCTCATGTGACAAAGCGAGCGATGCAAGATCGGGTTCGAAGGCATCAGGCCCTAGATCCCGCATTAGCTTGATTTGATCATCACATATCAGCACACATACCGGTCACGGTTTGATGAAACAGTAAGGAGACTTTGTCTTCGAGTTGGGGCAAGTAGACGTTAAGCACGAATTCATCTAACACGACACTCGACGCCCGAGCAGCCTCAAGGCCGGATGGGAGTACGCCTGAAATACGATCCAACCACGCAAGGGTAGGCTGAAAGAGAATACTAACATGGAAAGCATCTGGGTGGACTAGGACTCTGTGGTGTTGACCGGTACCGGCCAGTCGATCGTCTGTCCCAACTGCGGATAGTGTGGCCTGAACAGCGCTATCAGCCGAGCCCTGCACCAAACCCGGCACAGAGTCCTTCAATACACGAGTCAAATCATCCTCATGCTGCTTCAAGACTTTCATAGTAGACTTAATGTCTGTGTCCGCAAAGCGGAAGACCGACTGTCCGAGGCTCGGTGAGCACATACCAGCATCTTAAAATTTTGATACTGACTTTGGTCTTGTCCCGATTGAACTTGCCTTCTCTCAGAACTTCGTTGATAGACGAGATAGGATTACGACCAGATACCGTTCCCTGCTCCTCGTCAGTCACATAGTCGCTGATCAACGTTCGGACCTACGGACCTATTAGAAACCAGGCAAGTTGAACAGATAGATGGAACAGACCTCTGCTTGCACTGGCATCCATACTTCTGCGAGAGGAAAGAGAGACCCGGGCTTTGCTCCTGATGAATCTCGAAAATCCCGCCTCTGGATAAACCACGTGCCCGCCTTTAGATGAAAATCCTCTATGGAAATTGGCGATGTGTAGCTCACCGATCCAATCCGATTTGATACTTCGTAAACGACCCGCAGGGCCTGTGTGACTGCATCAAGTTTGGAATATAGCGTCCAGAAAAAGTCTCGCAAGGTCTCTTGATCGCCCTGTTTTGTAGACGATTCGAGAGCAGTTAAGCGGATACTAGCAGCTTTTAATGAAGGAACTCGGCCGGTGATGCCAATAGCAGACCGCGGCGCGCCTGGTACGATTGTGACTCCAGGTATGCCAGTGCCGAATCCCATTCCACCGGAGGGCATCGCGCTGGTGGTCAACATAACGTCTTCCAGCCTTCCACTTCCCGTACCCGACATTGAAGCCAATGCGGAGCCTCTTCGACCAAATTCAGCTCGCTCTTCAACTTCATCTAAAGTAGCTTCCACCAAAGTAGAGATTTCACCCGGAAGTTTCTGAGACACAACATCTAGTGCAGTCCCAAGTTTGCCAAGTACAGCCAACGATTCAAGAACTGTTTCAATGTAGGAGAACGAATCTGCCTCAGGATTCCGCGCAGGAGGTTGAAGTGTGTTCGGAAAGAAAGAGGTTGTGATACCGGGTAGGGCACCATTGAGGGAGTTCGATGATTGTCCAGTTGATAGCCCTATGGCGGGAGTGCTGCCTGATGCTGCTAGTCCTACACTAGAAGAATCGGGGCCATGTTGCTCAGTGATATCAAAGGGCGGATCATTGGGGCGCAAAGCAAGTTCGTCGAGGAATCTGGCCAGCCGCGTTGGCTTAGATCCTGGTCCATTAGGACTTGAAATAAGGGGAAATGATGGCTTTAATCTTGGAGAAAGTAGCTCCTCTTCTTCAAGGACTGGAACTGGGGAGATTTTACTCAGACAGCATAAAATCAGTCGCTATATACGCACATGCTTGTTGACCAGGTGTATACACTGCCCAGCGAGATTCACACCAAAATGATCTAAGATACAGATGACTTTGAAGCTCATCAACTAATATCTCTCTCAGTGACTAAGATCATACAGGATTAAAAATTAAACACATAAAGTACCGCATTGGTAAGACGTACCACTTCTTGAGTAACCAGATAACTTCGCAGGTCGGAGACAGCACCAATGTCCAGCATATCCTGCTTATTGATGAGTTTCAAGCTGCGTACTAACAAAACAGCAGCCTGAAGAAGACGCTTTTCCGATATCAGACTCTCAAGGACGTCTGGCACAGTTCTAAGGCGCTCTCTGTGAACTCCGCAAATCAGCAGCTTCTCGAGATATATCACCATGGTAAACCCACATTTGATCCAGAATCCGCATCATTTCGTCTACCGTCTGGCTTCTTGACCACAATTGGACGAGGTCCGCCCGTTTACTCCCTAGAGTATCTTTGGCCTCCTGAAGAGACGTTCGAGCCTCTCTGACTTGATCTTGCGTAACGCCAACGTGATTCAAGAGCGAACCGTGATGAGGAAGTGCGCCGGCAAAGGCCTGGTAGTATTCTAGGCACAAGTTATAGGTAGGGAATGAATCGACTAGCCCAGTGCGGAATCCAGTCAAACGCACTGTCAACCGATCCTTTCAGCGCTTTGGAAAGCATATCCTTCGTGCGCCGGAAAGAATCCATGTCCTTCCCCAGGGACGAGTCGTCCAAAAGTTGCAAAGCAAGCTCGACAGGATTGAACTGAAATGTAGTGGGGATTACACTCTCTGTTCGCAGTTTGTTGAAGTAGAGACTCACATCATCCTCAGTTACGATCTCCCATTCGCCTTTGATCTCATCCAAAACGGCTGCAAGTGTAGGGCTCAAATTTCAGCATATTTGATACAAAGCAACAAAGATCAACTGATGGACACTGACCGTCGATATCCCCTGCCTTTGCCTTCCCGGTTGCTCTCCTTCCAGGGACTCTGTCTCGTAGTCTTTGTTGTCGAGCCTTCTGAACCTCCAGTTCCCTCTCCCGCTCACGCTCATACTCAGCGTCTATCGGACTGTCATTTGCGAAACCTCTTTTTCTCCCAAATGATTGAAAGGCTGCTACAGCTGCCAAAGATGTTGGAGAGAGATCTGACCCTGGAGAGAGAGGAGAGATTGGTGAAGGAGCTGGCCGCGACCGGTCATTAGACATGACAGACAATGTCGAAGCATTGTTACGTAGCCTGAGGGGTGCGGATACATCGGGGCGCGCTGTGTCCGTGCCCTCTCCCGAAGCTCTAGAGTCACGGGTGATACGCGAGTCGATTGATGCGTGGTCGGAAGCAGAGTGCCCAGAGACTCGTCGTTCCCTCAGACCAGACCTCACGGGTCGTGTTGGGCCTTTGGCTCCTGTAGGAGAGGAAGACACCGTAGAAGTAGTACCCGGCGTGCTCGGACGTGCTCCAGTCGACGAAGCGCGGTCACGGTTTATTTGAAGTGGCCTTACCGGGGGCATGGTCTTGGGAGCGTCGTTTTGCGAGCTGGACGAGACATGAGGACGAGAAAGGTTTTTGGTGTTGCTAGAAGGCAAGCGAGACATGATCCAGACAATTAGAGGTACCAGTGCTTGCTCTGGTCGATGACCAGTTGCCATATAAAGACACTCTTCCGACTGTAGACGCTAAACTGGATGCAGTCGCAGACATCACTCCCGTCGTTTTTGCTGCCCGTGCAGTACAATACGGCAACGGTTCTCCCAGATGGATGCACCAACGCTGCTTTCCCTCATCCTAAATTTGGTGGAGCCGCTCATGTACACTGGTGGTCTGCAAACGTCGCCGAGCCTCCTGTGATTCTTTTGTTTCTACCAGGTGAATGTCGGGTGGGCTTCCCTCGACAGCAACTCTAAAGTCTATCATGCTAACTGAAAATTACAAGGGAATCCTGGATTGATTGAATTCTACACCCCGTTCCTCACAGAACTGCACAAGGAAAGCGAAGGTCGACTCGCTGTCTTGGCTCATGGCCACCTGGGTCACTCTCCCGCAATCGCACACGACAGAAACTACAGCGGTCCATCTAGTACCTGTTTGATTACCCAAGTAGAAAGTGCTATAGAGGCAGTTGACGCTATCAAGTCATCGTTCCCCTTCTCAAGGCTAGTGGTGGCAGGACACAGCGTTGGCTCGTGGGTAACCTTACAGGTCCCGCCTTATTCCTGTGTATTTATTAATGACTAACTCCGAGCTTTATAGGCCTTCAAAGTTCGTCCCACTGATATTGAATCTGTCTTCTTGCTCTTTCCTACAATTTGCCATATTGCGGATACTCCGAGAGGGCATATGCTGTCGGTACGCGATTTCAACATACTGATGATAGTCCCTGATTTCTCCGAAGTGGATGTTCCAGTCTCCCCTTCCTCGCCTTATTTCATACGCTTCGGTTCTCGCTCGTTCACTGCCGCAACGCGTTTTAGCCACTTTATTTTCTGACTGGCCTCAGGTCCAACTGACGGTGCTGCGTGAACTACTGCGTTCGCCTTCAGCTATATATGCCTGTCTTGCTTTAGCGCACGATGAGATGAAAACTATCAGGGATCTGGATGCTGATGTGTTTCAGTCACATCGGCAACAAATACATCTCTATTTTGCGGAGGTCGATGACTGGGTGGGGAGGCATAAGGAAAGTGTGCTACGTGCTTTGGAAGCGGACCCAAAATGTGTGCGTGTAGTTCACGGCCATAAGGACATACCGCACGCATTCTGCATTAGTAAGTGCCCAAAGCTTGTCGTTGCACTGTGGGTTATGCTCATCCATTCTTATCCAGATCATGGCAGGGACGTGGCAGAGCAATGCTGTGCATGGTTGAGATCTAGTGGTTTTCTTTGATCCGAGTCAACTAATAGTAATGGTGTAATATGCCCACATTCTGCATCTTAGTACTATAATATTCATCGTGCAATGTCGCAATTGATACATGGCGATCTACAACAAATAATTGTCCATTTTTCCAGTGGGTGAGACTCATTTTGCAAGTGAGAAAAGGTGTATGGCGTTGGAAGCGCACCTGTCCGATGCCGATCACTACAACAATAATTGATTGGCGCTTATGCTAAATACTTGAAGTTGCATTGTGAGAATTCTAGTCAAAAAGGAAGGCTACGCCCGCCTCGCTAGTCCTGCCACTGCTCTGGTCACGGCGCTGTTTATACTCTCATCTCGCGACGCGTTTCACGTGTCATACAAGATACGAACTCAATATTTGGCTGGTCATCGTGTCTGCTATCAAAGTAGTATGTCAACGACGTCTACGAATCACCCTCAATCATCTTCTCCTGCTCAGAACTTAGACCCACCGACTACCGACGTCTCATGCTCTTCGAATCCTCCGACAACTCTAAAGCCTTCGGAAGCACTCTTTGTTGCTGCAAAACCAACACACTCTCACTTCGGTCCATCTTTATTGACTGAGCAGCGCTTCTACATTGAAGTACCAAGTTTGACCGAGGACCAAAAATCACAATACAAAGCTGACTTTGGCCGAAGCACGATGGGTGCCTCCGATGACGAATTCGATAATCAGGAACTGGTCTCTGTAATTGGTGATCTCGAAGAGGGCGGCATTCTGTATTACTTCGCAAAATTCTCTGATGGAATTGCTCATAAGGTACGTTGTGCCTTCCCGATAATGTCTACTCCCAGCTCAGGATACTCGACGACAATGTTACTGAAGGAAGCTTCCGGCTCCTGAATATGTGGACTCACTGTTTACCACATCTTCTGGAGCATCGTGGAAATTTCAGCTCTTTATGAGTCCTTTCAATATAGCAGAGGATTGTTCAATGGTCGTTTCAACTATCCATATTCTGAGTAATTTATCTAAATCCCACCTTCTAACGTACTACTTGCGCATAGTTTCCGGCGGATGAATTTGCGAAAGGTCACGCGGATCTCGTGGAACAGTATAGTACGGCCCCTTTTTGAATCCGAAATTATGCAATTCTATACTCATTAGTGACTCAGAAAACTCGAAAAAAGCTGGGACCCTTCTTCCGTTCGATCCGTCCGCGCATTACATTCATCCCAAGTCTCGTGTCAAAATGGCCATCAAATTCAACACCCGAGTTTCACGGAACAGGCGTGTTCGCAGAGCAAGCTCGAACTCAGATGAACTTGCCATGGATGTAGACTCTGAATCCGATACTGCAATATCTTCAGTCCCCCCGAGGCGCGGACATCCTCGTGCTGCAGCTGCGGGTGCTAAGAAGAAGATGAAATCTTCTATTCAAGACTATTTCCCACCTGCTACTAATTCAGACGACGACAGCGACGTCCACGAAGCGGCTGCGCCCGTCAGGAGATCACTACGTACGCGGGCAACGCGAGCCACGGTTGCTCACGATGCTGATGACGACGAATATGATGACGAGGTGCAGGAGATGAGCAGCGATGAGTTTGAAGGTCGCCGAGCATTAAGGAACGCCAAAAAGATCGTCCGCGGGAAGACTTCCCGCCCGGCATATGGTCGATTCCGCGTTATAGCAGATATGGAACTAGATGAGCAAGAGTATGCCGCACTAGCGCCACTACGAGTTCATCGGCGTACTTGCGAGAAATGTCATAGAAAGCCCGCCAATGAGTTATTAGCCGATCTTATGTCTAAGAAAGGCAGGCGGAAGAAGGACGTTGAAGATGATGAGAAGAACGAACAAGAGCAACTTGAAGATTTGGGAGGCTGGGTTAGGTGGTAAGCATATCATGTTATGAGCGTATGAAGCCCTGCTGAGCATTCATTTGTCAGCCTCAAATGCCCGCTTGCCGCTCATTGGGGATGTCTTGCGAAGACCCAGAGAGAGGAAATTCTACGAGCGGCCCTGGACAAAGATAAGAGCGAGTGGCTTGCTCAGATGGCGAAATCGCGCGAGTCCGGCGACGAACAGCCGTCGGACTCAAGGACAAAGCCGGAACCGAGAAGGCGTGCAGATCTCAATCCATGGCAGACGACAGAGTTTATATGTGGTTCGTGCATGAAAGGCGGAATCTGCATGTATTGCAAAGAAGTTGCAATTCAGCCCGATAGGTCTCAGCTGGCGAATGTCGAGGACAAGCCTCAAGAGCGGAGGGGGACGCCAGAAGCAGCCGGTTCAGGTGTAGATGTCGAGATGGTCGACGGGACAAGTGTCGCTCTGATGCCCGCCCTCAAAGGCAATGGCATCGACGATGACATCCCAGATGAGCTCATTTATCGCTGCATCACTTGCAAAAGACTCGCTCATTATGCCCACCTTCCTATTCCTCCTGGTGATAGCATGCCGTCCGATAACGTCAGTGCTATCGAGCTCGCCGAGTTCTATCAAAACGATAACAACTGGCAATGCGCTGATTGTGCGTCCTACACTTATGCAGTAGAACACATCCTCGCGTGGCGTCCGTTTCCCGAAAATGCTATTGAGTCTCCACGTCCTGCAATGCAGCCGGTGAATTATAAGATGATGCTTCCACGAGAATACCTGATAAAGTGGGTAGACAGAAGTTACAGGAGGACATCATGGGTACCTCATGGATGGTTGCTTGCGACAAATACAGCCAAGCTAAAGAATTTCCTCCAAGGCGGAAGTAAAATCACATTGTTGCCAGAGCCTGCGTCTGACGCCACAGCGGGGGAATCGAATGGAGTCGACTCGATGGTATATGAAGTTGGCGGGGAGGTATCGAGAGACACATCCGTCAAGCCGGATAGTGGACCCACATCGTCCCTGCAGGCGAATCCAGACGCGGAGCGGAAGATACCACCCGCTTGGATGACAGCGGATCGTATCTTGGATGTGCTCCTTGCGTACCCCAAACGACGTATTGGCAAGCGCAAACAGAAATACGTCAAACATCGAGGTAAGAAAGCATATGGGGTGGAAAGCGAGGACGATGACGAGAAGAGCGAAGACCCTGAAGTGGCTCAAGTCCATAGAGAATTGGAGGACGTTCGCCGGCTAGGGAAGCAACCGAGTGATGACTTGACTGAGACTGTCGAGGAGTACGAAGATCGAACCCGGCATATATTGTCTCCTGACGAAATTGGCCGCGTTGTCTGGGTTCTCTTCAAATGGGGCGACCTAGGCTATGAAGATGGTGGGCATGCATGTACTGCTCGATTTTCTGATTGTTCTCACGTGCGGTCCCTCTCAGCCTCTTGGGATGCTCCTCTGCGTGAAGGAGAGCCAGGGTATGCCTCCTTTCAAAATGCCTTTTATCGATTCTTGGCTGCGCGCAAGGTCACCATTCGTCACTTGTCCGCTCAGGACCAGAAGGATTTCGATAAGCGACCAAAGAATGCATGGAGGAAGCAGGCCTTCGATTACGAGAACCAACCAAAACTTGGTCAGAATCCTCAATTGAAATTGATGCCCTTTCAGGTTGACGGCGTCAACTGGCTTTGCAGTAATTGGGTCGAACATCAGCATTGTATACTTGCAGATGAGATGGGTCTGGTATGAATTCCCCCCTTGAGAAAGATCCCTTTGTAACTGACCGTTTGCGCGCAGGGGAAAACTGTTCAGATCGCCACCTTTATTGGAAGTCTCAAGGGACACCAAGTGTATCCCTGTCTAGTCGTCGTCCCTAACTCAACCATCACCAACTGGGTACGCGAATTTGAGCGCTGGGCTCCTAAGCTCAGGGTAGTGCCTTTTTATGGCGAAGCTAAAGCTCGAGAAATTATCAAACGCTACGAACTTTTTCATCAGTATCCTGAAGAGGGAACGACTGGTGCTAAATTTCATGTATTGGTGACTACGTATGAGATGATAACCAACCCTAAGGAGTTTGCCCCCGTCTTCAAGAAGATTCTCAGGTGGGAGGTGCTCGTAGTGGACGAAGGACAGCGACGTAGGTTAATATATTTTGAAGGCCGATGTTTACTGAACCATTCTATATCAGTCAAGAGCGATGCCAGCTTGTTGTTTAGGAAGCTGAAGGAATTAAATACTATACATCGTATTATCATGACTGGTGTAAGTTTTCCGTACCGGACAACATATATATACTTATCAAGATCCAGACACCTTTGAACAACAACATCCGAGAGCTCTTCACTCTCATGAATTTCCTCGATCCTGGTGAATGGGCCGATTTGGATGCCCTCGCGAGAGAATACGAAGTACTCTCCGACGACAGTGTCAAGGAACTCCACATGAGATTGAGACCGTACTTCCTCCGTCGCCTCAAAGTTGAAGTTCTTCAATTACCCCCAAAGGTACAATCTTTGTGCAGAATTTTTGATCTAGATCTGTTGACGACTCTTCTCCAGAATGAAGTCATCGTACCGGTCAGCATGACGCCTCTTCAGCGTGAGGTATATCGGTCACTCTTGAGTAAGTCGCTACCTTATCAAGGCATGAGTTCTCTGACGTAGTCCGCTAGGTAAGAACCTCAATGTCCTTCGGAATCTCGTCCAAGGGTCAATGGGCGCTAAGGTAAACGCCGCAGTGAGCAAGACCAACATGAACAACCTGCTCATGCAGCTGCGGAAGTGAGTCGCTTGCATAATATTTTTCTCCTTGTTGTTGAGGATTGGTTACCAGATGTCTCCAACATCCTTACTTGGTATCTGAGGAGATTGAACCGAAAGGACTTCCACCATCCGAGTCACATGCCAAACTCATAGATGCCAGTGCTAAGCTGCTTCTGCTTAAGATATTGTTGCCCAAGCTTCGAGAGCGTGGTCATCGAGTTTTGTTGTTTAGCCAGGTCTGCATAATCACTCTGACGCTTTAGATTTATTGTCTCACCAAACCACAGTTCTCCATAGCACTCGATATCATTGAAGACTTCCTCATTGGTGAGGGTATCAAGTACCTACGCCTGGTATGAGTTTCTCACTGATCTGAATATATTTGTCCTCATCGAAGCGGCGCCCTAGGATGGAAGCACCAAGCAGATCGATCGTCAAAAGGGTATGGATGAGTTCAACAAACCCGATTCGGATGTATTCGTTTATCTGCTTACAACACGGGCTGGGGGGGTGGGCATCAATCTCTGGACCGCGGATACAGTGATTATATTCGATCCAGATTTCAACCCACACCAGGTGCGCGCTCTTGAAAACATATGATGATAGTTCTGACGGTATTGCCTACAGGACCTCCAAGTAGGCTTGCTCGTTGTGCATTATGTGACAAGACTAATCCCTCACCGTTAGGCTATTGCCCGTGCGCATCGTTATGGACAGGAGAAAACATGCCTTGTGTTCAAGCTTATGGTCAAAGGCTCTGCAGAAGGCACGCTTATACCTTTCATGTCTCATGCTTTTTATTCACTTGTGGTGCCCTAGATAAGATAATGCAGACGGGAAAGAAGAAGCTTGTCCTTGACCATCTCATTGTTCAGAAAATGGATGACAGTGATGGCTCCAAGGAGGATGTGCAGTCGATCTTGATGTTCGGTGCACAAGCCCTCTTCGATGAAGGTCAGGAATTAGAAGAACGTCAAATTCAGTGTAAGTGACATATTTTTGTCCAATCGAATCAGAGAATCAGAGAGCTAACTCCCTGCCAGATTCTGAGAACGACGTAGACAAGCTGATCGAACGAACGGAACAAGAAGGGGATCAGCCCGGACCTGAAGCCGAAACGAGCACGGCATTTTCTTTCGCAAAAATCTGGTCCGCGGACAAAGATGTAATGGAGGAAATTGTGGAAGATCCAGCGGAAAACCAAATTGACTCATGGGCACAAACGCTGGAGCGCATAGCAACAAAGCGCTCAACTGAACAAGTTCAGGAAGCCACAGGCCGCGGTGTACGACGTCGTGCCGCAGCTGTCTTCCCTCAGGTAAGTTCGAGTCTTACCTGCACGCACAGCGGACTCATATTCGGCGTTTACAGCAAACCCTTGATATCGATGACACTCCGGACAAGGGCCAGAAGGCTTCAAGGCGGAAAGGCAAGAAGAGCAAATCGCACGTGTCAGACGATTCCGACGTCTATGCTGTATCTGCATCCGAGAGCGACACTGGGATCTCAGCGACTGCCTCAGTTGTCCCAGACGATCATAATAGCATCCTTCCCCCCTCATCCCCTCCGCTAGCGCTTCAAGCCCGACTGCACCATGTACGTCCTCCTCCCATCACACAGGATGTCAGTATCTCTTCAGCATTCGGAGGTGATACCAGAATATCTCAACCGTTGCCACCAATTCTTAATACGGCGGACCCCATATGTGGTCTATGTGGCGGTCAGCACGGCGACACGCCATGTTATATGACCAATAGCTCGGAGAATCTCGTTCAATATCGACGTATGCTACTGTTTCATGCCGGAGACGAGCCGTTGGAAGAACGTGTACGTACCATTATCATCGTGAAGTCTTGTTCATTGACATTCTGCCACCATCCTTTAGCGGGCGGCGATCCAGGCGATCGATGAGACGCTACATAAACGCGGATTGCTTAATCTTGTGCTTGGCCAGCCTCTTCACATTGTTGAACATCCGGCAAAAAGTAATGATCCACCTCCACCAAAGCGGCAGAAGAAGAATCATTCGGCGACCCCCGTACCAACAAGACCATCTGCACCTCCTACTCAGACCGTCTTGAGGGGTACGCAGTTCGGAATCCCGAGCAGTTCCAAAGACGTAGATGCACAGTTTGGTCCTTCAAGAAGTGGGGCGAAGCCCGACAAGTCTCAGCCAGCCGCATTCGTTGTCCCAATGACAAATAGCGCTCCAGTCGCGAGTACATCGAAGCGTGCGCAGTCCTCCGACTCTGAAAAGCTCCCACAGAAGAAGAAAATGAGAGATGAGGGGCAGACACCCTGTCTGGTTTGCGGTCGGACGCCACATCATCTCGTGAAGGACTGTCCTGTCGTTGTACAAGGGCCAAAAAGGTGGGGATACCAATTACAGACATTGTTCGGTGGCTAATGGGGTGCATAGTATAAAGAGGGCGATGCGGGAACTGAAGGATGATCCAGCGCAGGAGGCAACGTTGAATGTGCTGCAGAAGATCCTAGTCAAGCAGCAGAGGCAGGCGCTGGCTCGAGATGGGGTGGATTCCAGGGACTAAAATAGTGTATGCCACCATAGAAACGTCATATAGAGCTTGTTGTAATGTAAGATAGATTTAGATATTAATTTATCTGCATTGTACTACGCCAATGAAAACGCCGTTGGAAGGCCAACGTGGATTGAACTACATATGGGCGTTGTTTTGTGCGCGCGAGATTCACGCCACAGAGGAGAGCCACGGCCGCGGGCCTGACGTGGACGCGTGTGCGCGAGTGGCCAAGGAAGGTCCGAACGAATCTGAACTCAGACCTTTTCCACCAGCGCCCTGGGAGCCTTATAAAGAGGGAGTCGACTGAGGCGGCACAGTCGACGACGCGCGCAGCAGCACAACACACACTTTGATGGTCAAGGCACTCGTCAAGGGCTTTAGCATGCAGTCCGAGTCTCATCCGTGGCCTATGCCTCCCGCCAGCGGTGCGTCCTGCTCTTCTCTGCTGCGCTGCCGCACTCAATCCCAAACAATTTCCTTTCCAGACAGCACGTGGCCCTCCTCAGCTGGCCCAGCAACTCCTTCAGCGGCGAAGACTTCCCAAAACCCCCATCTGAAGCGCCCGCGCTCTCCGTCCAACGCCATGGACTCTGCCCCTCCCACCTTCCCGCCCATCCCCAAACTCCGCGGCGACATCATCCTAGAGGTCTTCACTCACAAGTCTCTTCGCTTCCCGGGAGCACCCACCAACGAGGACTCTGAGTATGGCGACAACGAACGCCTCTCCGTCTTGGGTGAGAAAGTGCTAGACACTGCCACAACATATACTCTCTTCGTGAAGAGGCCCATGCTCAAGGCAGAGGAAATCGAGGTGAGCTACTCTGCCCATGCATGTCTCATCACTTTGATCTGCTACGATCGTGACCAGTCACGTAGGGTCGAGGTCCTTTCGGACGCCAATGTGGAAAGCTGGATCGTCGAGTACAAGCTAAGAGAGAAAGTGCGATGCAGCCAGGATGCCTTGGCATCGCTCACTACTCCCAAGGTAACGTCATCCATCTCACCCCTAAAATATTGATGATCTCACGGGGGAACACAGGAAACTAGGCTGCTATTTCACTCCTACATCGGCGCCGTTTTCGTCCAGAACGGAATGGAGCTGGTTCAGGACTGGATTGGCCAGCTTATCGACCCGAATTACAAATCTGGAGCCTCAGTGAGCATGGAAGTTGATGCTTTCTCTGCTTATAAGAAGATCAAGACGGAGTCGATGGGCTCCCCGACGCCACCTCCCTCGAGCCATGTACCGCCACCTCCGACGTCCGCCCCGCCGCCACTTCCAGCGAATCCTCTTTCACCAGCGCAGCCTATGGCTGCTTTCCTTCCTCTTTTCAATCAGACTGCAAATCAACGCAGGCTCACTGTGGAATACCCGGCACAATTCTCAGGTCCTGCCCACGCAGGCCGCTGGACAGTTAAGTGCATGGGTACGTCGCATTATATGAACGTCAGTCTACTCTACTTTTGATTGATCGTGCTATCTAGTTGGTGGTTTCGTCAAAGGCGAAGGTACCGGCGCCAGCAAGCAGCTTGCCAAAGAGGAAGCAGCCCGACAGGCATACTATGCCATGGGGTGGGCCCCGTGTAAGTAGTTTTTGAAATGTTGCTTGAGCGATGTACTTACTTCTTTTCACTAGATGCTTAAACACAGTTTCTATCACCGTTAGCGTCTCGTTCAAGTAGTTTGTACCATCACAACCTAGCATGACCAGGTCGCGGTCTCTACGCTTTTCTTTGTAAGAACGTGGGGACTGTGAGTATGGTCCCGGATTATAAATATGGTTTACTATCATGGACCATATTCGTCATCGGTGCTAGCTTGCAATGGTCCAAGTCTAAGTGATTCAATTCATGGTGAAGGTAAACACAAGAGACAGCACCATGCTGCAATATCTCAGTGCCCGTCGTCAGACCAGCTGATCAAAGACAAAATCTTATGAGTGGAGCGCTGCAGCCACTTTCTTGATACTTGTGTATTGTGTTGCAAAGCTTCGCGGTCTTCTTGTGTATCTGCTTATCCATCTTGTCGAAGTGTAGCACCTTTACTCTTTTACCTCACGTCCATGTTGCATCGATTTCCCCCACATTTTGGTTGTAGCTTTGGTCTCCTAATAGTTGTTTCCCAAGAGCCTGTTCAGCATTCTCTCCAGATATATTGTTACAAAATGATTATACTGCGCGTACAATTGGCAGAAATGACCAAGGCAACTCCCAGTGCTGCCAGGTCATATCATATGCAAGCGGTGCTTGAACAAAATTTTAAACTCACGACAGATCTGAGGACAGTATGGACTCGCACTTTAGACTACAACTCGACGATTCATCGTTGGTAAGCGGAAAGTGTAAGACAGTATAGTACTTCTCAGATGGGGCTTCCAGTCGTTGGGCTCGCTGCAGGCGCCGGAAGGCAACAGCGCTAGCTAACTTACATGCATAGGACCTAACTCGGTGACATCGGGGTACACACCCGCCGGTTCGGTGGAGACGGAGATGTGTCAGAAAGCCGGGCATAAAGATTTGAAGAGCATAATGTCGCGAGATGTCGCAGGATGTCGCGAGGGACAGACTTCCGAATCCAGAAATCAAGCCAACCATCAACTAACGTGCCACCCAACCACACAATGCGGTCGCAGACCAAAAGCAGTGTGGTACACTTACCGTGGCCTATGGGCCGTCTGCGTCAGGATGGTATTCATAATACCATTGTGCCCGATCGGGATTCGGCACGTCTCATTTCCGCGGAGAGCGCTGGACGGCGGTAGACACGACTCGCAGCAACACCTGCTGCAGCAGCTAGGAGGGTGCCATCAGACCGTGGCATGCAGCACAGGCATGCGGTATCCGTGTTCACCAGCTCCGTCGCTGTGAACTGCACGATGTCTGGCGGAGGCGTGTGCATGAGAGGCATGACAGATTATCTGACAAAGCGCGCGGGAGGAATGGCTGGTTGTTTGCCCGAAGGTTTTGAAGGTCGCGCGCCGGGCTCGGCCTATGACTAAGAGGGACCAGCAAGTTACGTTCCCCTGCTGAGACGTTCCCATCGCGGAGGATATTATGAGGACGAGAGGGAGGCAAGTGCGGCCCTGGGCCTGCACCTGCATGATCCAGTGGCAGTCGAACATGTTGCGATATCTCGGTCCTCGGAATGCGCTTGCTTAGTCACGTGGGCCAGTCAGCACCGATCTCTCAAATGCAATGCCAATGCCATCGCTCCCTCCGAGCCTGTTTCATCTCGACGCCTTCCTCGACGGCCGCGTCTAATCCCTCCCCGCGGTCATCAACGACCGACCATGTTCTCCCAGCCGTCTACTAGTGCTGCCCCGTACTCGCCTCCACCACCGAATGCTTCCAGAGTAGCGCCTCCCATGCTCTCTTATTCCCAATCCAACCCGATTGATCTTACTCTTGACGAGGACGAGGATGGGGACGACAATGGCAACGATGCCTATCATTCCTCCGACAGGAAGTGCAAGCGCACCTGCACCAGTTCCCGTAGTTTCAATGCCTCCAGCGACTATTCTCGCGATGACATTGACTCGCACTACCAGCCTCACCAATCATCTGGTCTTTCTCCTGTGATGTCTGCATCCACTTTACTTCCTCCTATTGCACAGCATCCTTCTTGGTTGTCGCACCAGATGTCTACAGGACCGGTCCCGCCCATTCCTAATACCATCCAACCCCCACCATTCACGGGCCCCTCTAATTCTTCGGCCTTCTTTCCTCCACGGCCAAAGCCTGCGTACAATTCTCCACCATCCAATCGGCACCGGCTATCGCCACAATCCAATGCTGACTTTTCTCATCTGTCCGCTAGTACCTCCCGTCAGGTTATTGATCTCACAAATTCCCCATCCCCATCGCCACCCCCCGCGACTCCCTTGCTCATGCACCATCAACAAGGTAATTTGCCCAACGATCTGCCTCCAAAGACGCCGGTATGTATCGGCCAGCTGACGGTCACTGCTCTCGTGCTGTACCCTATTCCATACCTGCTCTTCAAGGAGCCACAGTCGGCGGGGCCTGATACAGAATGGGCCCCAGTGCGTCTGAGCTACGAGCATACGCCTCACAAGGCCACTGGCCAGGAGACAATACACATCAAGACCCCTTCTGCAAAGCTTCCGACTGGAGAGATTATTCAAGGAGAGAATTTTGCTGTGGTTGAACAGAAAGCCGCGACATTTCTTGGACCTATGTTGGGGAAGGGTCTGATTCGCTTGGATGCGAAGGTGCGCAGGGGGATGCCACATGTGAGTATCGTGTCTATCAAGTCTACATGCTACTGACTAGAAAGCAAAGCTGCCGATTTTGCCGTTGCAATTATTGGTATATACACCTAAAGGAAATATTCCTGTTGTTGCAAATTACTTGCATCAGTCTGGACTTCTCTTAGATCACCCATCCATACCATCGGACCATCAGCGTCTTCTTACCCAATATTATTTCAATCCTCATAATCCGCCCCCAGGCGGACATGCTCGCAGTCCGGCAGGCCTGAGTAATCGACTAGGATATGCCGGGCCTGGAGGCGCGAGCGGAGGCAGATGGAGCACGCCGTTAGTTTCTGGCAAGAGCGTGGAAGTTCAGCGGAGCCAAGTAGATGAATTGTTCAAAAATTTGAAAGACGGCGACGAACTTCAAGAGACCGAAGCCCGTACGTCTACAGCTTCATCTACCTTCATGCCCACTCGATGACGAATTTTTGCAGCTTCTGAGGTCGCTACGAAGCTGTATCCACATCAAAAGAAAGCTCTCACCTTTCTGCTTGAGCGTGAGCGTGAGCACGTCGGACCGCTGGGCAAGCACACCTCATTGTGGCAAGAGAGATATAATCCGCTTTCTGGGCAGATATCATGGTATCATGTCGTTACTCAGCGGGAAACGAAGGAGGAACCGCAAGAAGCGAAAAGTGCTATTCTTGCGGACGATGTGCGTAGTCTGATAGAGTGCTGGGGAGATTTCTGACCATTTTGGATGTAGATGGGGCTTGGAAAGACTATCACCTGTGTCTCTCTTATTGCAGCAACGCTTCGGTCCGCTCGGGATTTCAGTGCGTCACCGCTCACACGTCCTGCTTCTCCTTCAGGGTCTCCGGAGCCGGGCTTGGATCCTTCCCATTTTGCCGAAAGTGTATGGGGAATCCCGGTAAAACAGGAATCGAATAACGCTAAAGAGAAGGGGAAGTCTAATCGAGAGCAGGATCGAGAACAAGCTGAATATGCCAGGGCGTGCAGGATCAAAGCAAAGAGCCGCGCAACTTTAATTGTCTGCCCGCTCTCTACTGTAGTCAATTGGGAAGATCAGTTTCGGGAGCATTGGCGGGGTGAAGTGACTGTTGTCGGTGGTGCCGGAGGTACCATATGTTCAACACCCAGCACACCACAAACAGGCTTCGCTTCTTCATCTTTGTATACGTTTTCAGCGACCTCGCAGCAAGCAGATGACGTCAAGCTAGAAGTGCAAAAACCTTCCGGACGCGTCCGCGAAGGTACGCCGTTACGTGTGTACGTTTATCATGGTAATGCTCGGCGCCCCGACCCTGCCTTCCTCGCTAATTTTGACGCGGTCATTACGACGTACGCCACGCTTGCTTCCGAGTACTCCAAGCAGGTCAAAAGCATCGCGACTGTTGGGGAAGAGGAGGACGGCGATAGCAGCAGTGATGGAGAGGCTGTTATAGATGAGAGAGGTAACCAGATTTTGAAGATCCCGAGAGCAAAGAAGTCCGGCACGAAAAAAAGGAAGAAAGGGGGTGGGAAGGCCAGCGGATGCGCGGAAGTATCTAGTGCGCTGCAAAGCGTGCATTGGTTCAGGGTTGTTCTCGACGAAGCTCAGTAGGTCTTTGACGCTAGTTCGATCTCACGCCCGTGCTAAGTATCTATGAAAGCTCCATCAAAGAGACTTCGACGGTCGGCTGTCGTGCATCCTGTGATCTCGTCGCGGACCGTCGGCTCTGTCTCACGGGCACCCCTGTTCAGAATAAGTTGGATGACGTATACGCTCTCGTCAAATTCCTTCGTTTGAGTCCTCTAGATGACAAGGGCGTCTGGACTGAATTCATTGGAACGCCCGTCAAGTATGGTCAACCGCTCGGCGTCGCCCGCCTCCAAACTATCATGAAGTGTATTACCCTCCGTCGTACCAAGGAGTCGAGAGCGGAAGACGGTCGCAAGATCCTGTCGCTTCCACCGCGTCGAGACGAACTCCGGTATCTCCGTTTTGACGAGCAGGAGCAGGGCGTCTATGACCAGTTCTTCACGGAGTCCAAGGCCGAGTTCAACGAGCTTTCAGACAAGAACGAAGTTATGAAAAACTACGTTGGGATTCTTCAGAAGATTCTCCGATTGCGACAGATTTGTGATCACTTTGAGCTCGTGCGAGACAAGGGAATTGGTGACGGTCAGCAGGGGTCGCCCCTGGCTTATGATGATATTGTCGCTGCTGTCGCTCGAGATGGCATTAATGCGCAGCGAGCTGCGGCACTCTTTGCTCTACTCAGAGAAGCGGGTATCACGCAGTGTGTCGAATGCGGAGGTGAGCTTGCAGGTAGCGCGGATTCTGCGTTGGGCGACAGCGCCATCGGGGACGGTGACGGATCGAGCACACCGAAGCGTGGACGAAAGCCGAAGGCTTCTGCATCTCGCGCCTCCACACGCCAGAACAGCCCGACCGCGCCACATCCTGTCCTGACCCGATGCCAGCATTTGTTCTGTGTGGGCTGTCTTCGCAATTCTATCGCTCCTGGTTGGCCTGGTGGTGCCGGCGATGTAACGCGGTGTTGCTCAGTGTGTCAAACGGCTCTTTCTGCGGACGACATTGTCGAGGTTAATCCTGATTGCTCCTTGTTGGATTTTGCACCGAAGAAGAAAGCAGCTAAGAAGGAGAAGAGGCAGAAGGGGATTGCTATGGAGAATTTCCATCCCTCGACAAAGGTCAGGGCTTTACTCGGCGACCTCATGCAATTCTCCAAGGCGAATCCCTACTCCACAAACTACGACCCGACGTCTATAGAGGTGCAGATGGTAGACGGACAAGGTAATTCTTTGGACGATGGCGTGGTCAAGACCGTCGTATTGTAAGTAGTTTCCGTCGTGGATTGCATCTTTGACTGACATGCGGCCTTAGTTCTCAGTGGACCACGATGCTAGACAAGTGAAGTGTTCTTCATGGCCATCCTCATTTCCTTACTGATCCGCAGGCTGCAGGATTGAAGATGCGCTAGAGTTGGCCGGGATACGATACGATCGTTTAGATGGCACCATGAAGCGCGACGAGCGGACTCGCGCAATGGAGGCCTTGAAGCACGACCCCGCTTGCGAAGTACTGCTTGTGAGCCTGAAGGCCGGAGGTGTCGGCCTCAATCTCACCGCCGCTCAGCGCGTGTACCTCATGGACCCTTACTGGTACGTGCGCTCTCGAGGCAGCATTTGCTGGACCGGACTGATGAGCGTCTAGGAACCCTGCCGTAGAAAACCAAGCAGTGGATCGTATCGTAAGCCCAACCAGTCTCAGGAACGGACGTGTCTGACTCTCCGGTAGCACCGCTTGGGGCAAACCCGGCCTGTCACCACCGTCAAGCTTATCATTGAGAATAGCATCGAAGCACGTTTACTTGAGGTACAGAGGAAGAAGACCGAGCTCGCGAACATGACGCTGGGCTCGAGCTTCACAAAGGCCGAAATGTTACAGCGTCGGATGGAGGAACTCAACCAACTGTTTGGGACCTAGGCATCGTAATCTATACGTTATGGTATTTTCTAGATTGTCAGAGCTACGTTGTACTAATGTGTTGTATCGCTGTCTGCTACATTACTGTTGACATTATGCACGGCTGTGGATCGCTTCGTTTCATGTCGGCGGTGGTCACTTGGATCGTGGTAACATACAATATAGCCATATACCCTAGAACGCAAAGTGTCCGGCGCTTTTGCGGCGGCCCAGGGCGTACACTATCATCTGGGCGGCGAAGAGCCCGATGGTGACGCCGATCGCGACCTCAATCATGCGGATGCCGAGATCAAAGCTGTTGGAGTACTGCGCAGAAGATGTGTTGTAGGTTTGGATAAGACCGCCTCCGTTGCCTATGGCCGACTGACGTTCTCATGAGCGGCGAGTCGCCATGCTCACATGATGCAGGGGGTGTTGTGCTCACCGGGACCAGGAACAGCACGCCGGTGACCATGGACGTGAAGGCGGTGCCGCCGATGATCCGGGAGTAGACGTTGCCGCAGAGGCCGATAACGGTCGCGCCGAACGCGGACACGATGTCCGAGCGGTCGCTGACGAGCACGCTCGCGCCCTTGTTCGCCGCGTACGCCGCGCAGGAGAAGGCGACCATGATGGGGAGCTGCGCGCTCCGGAGGGACTGCAGGTTCGCGAGGGACGAGCAGACGGAGTAGAGGGGCACCAGGAACAGCGCCGCCCACCAGGGGAACGGCTGCCTCCACCAGGGCCAGTGGGGCCCGCGGTAGCAGCCTGGGCGCAGAGCGGATCAGCCATAGATAAGAGACGTGGTCTGTACACGGACCTTTGATGACATGGCTGGCAGCTTCGCTGATGTCCGTGAACGAGTACGTGCCGCCCAGGTCGGCCAGCGGCAGCGACGCGTTGTTCGCAATGATGTGCCCGTGGTAGGTGTGGGCTTCCAGCCTGTCCGTGGCGGCGAGGACGTGTCTCGCCTCGGGGTTGATGACGAGGTAAAAGTCGGAGCCGATGGTCAGCCCGAATCCCTGCAGAGCGCGTCACAGCGGGGGTGCGCCACCGAGATACGCTATCCGCTCACCAAGAACAACGTGTAGATTATGGCATAGACCATGCGCACGGAGCCGCACATGGTGTTTCTGGCCGCGAGCTCGAGGGCGCTGATCACTGCATCGAGACGATAAAGTCAGCCTCCATGCTCGGCGGCGGCGTGAGACTGCGCGAGAACGGACAAACGGTGAACCCGGGCAATATCAGCACTACTCCCGCCGAGGATATGGAAGTATAGCAGAAAAGCTGTCCGGGGACGGATCCCAAGACCCGCGCGAGGAACGACACGATGATGGAGACCGAGATCCTGGCGAGAGCGGAAACATCAGAAAGCGTGCTGATTGTGGTCGGATGGGCTTACTCGTAGACGTTAGCGTAGATGGAGCTCTTTGCCGCAGCCCTCAGGCCGAGATACTGCAAGATGGACGCGCTTGCGCCGCTGATGAACATGTCCAGCAAGGACCCGCCGAACGCCAGCACGCAGATGATTGATGCACAGATGAAGGCAAAGAGACAGCGGATGTAGATACCGTAGAGCGGGCCGGCCTTGATGATCTTGTCGAGCTCCTCCGTGCCCTGGGTGGCACTGAGCTTGTCGCGGAGGACGAGGCGGTACACGTTGTGGATGTTGTAGAGGGCGGTGAGGGCGACGCGGCCGCCTGCGCGGACAAAGTGCACCTCGGACGTGCGGGTGTCGGAGTCGAGAAAGGTGACGAGGATGATGTTTGGGAAGTGGACGAAGCGGGTGTCGAGCTTGAGTATGACGGAGGCGGCCTCGAGCTGGGACTCGATGCGGTGCGACGGGGCGCCGAAGGTCAGGAGGGCCTTTGCGAGCTTGAGCACGAATTTCTGTCTGCGGATATACGCTGGACGGCACATGAGAATGAGCTTCTCCGTCTGGACGATGATAGACCTACTTTCGGCGTGGCGCACGATTTCGCGCTTCTTGCGGCCGCGTTTGAGTAGTACCTTGTCGCGGTATCGGTGCTTGGACGGACGCCCCTTCTCCACGTCGTCCTCGTTGTCTTGCGAATCATAATGCAATGCGAAGGAGGACCTTCGCCTCGGCCTGGCCTTGTGCTGGACAGAGGCCTGGTCGCCGTACACGGAATCGCGGCGGCTGGAGAAGGAGCCGCGGAGGGAAGCCCGCGGAAAGCCAAAGCCGAGGATGGAGGCGAGGTAACCGTCGCCTGTATTCTGCGCGTCCTCGGGGGGGTGCGTCTGGTGTTCCGCCTGATCGGGGGCGCGCACAGGGGGCGGGCTGAGGGTGATGGGAGACGACCACGGGGAGAGCGGCCTGTCGCGTTGCGCATCGTCACCAAGTGCGGGATGCGCAGGGCCAGCGGGATGGCCCTTTGACGGCACCCCGAACTGGTAGCCCTCAAAATAGCCATTTGTGTCGCTGTGGGTCCCGGGGTGGGGAGTCGGGTGCTGGTCGTATTTCGCCGGGTCGTGGCGGGACCGGAAACCCGCTCGGCTGGAGTGACCCTGGGCGAGCGGCGGGGGCGAGAGGGGAGACAAGCTGACGGAGGGTCGAGCCATTGGTGGGCGAGCAGCAGCAGCAGCAGCCTGAGCTGAGTGGGCACAAGCAGGACGGTGTAGAGTCAGCGGCACTCGACCAGAGGCTGACAGTGACCTTTGGGATCTGTCCGTGGCAGCCAGGGAGACTCCAGACGACGGCCAAGTCTACACAGACTGGTCTTTCCCAGCAGCAGACAC